TTTTCCAAACTAAGGTACCCATTACAACTGAAACGCTGTTAAACGCGTTCATGGGGGGATCCATTTCGCATCGTTTCGAAAACTGATGTTGCGAAACGTGTTTCATTCCTGAATTACTTCGGAACGTGTTCAAAAAAGAGATGCGTTTTGCGTTGTTGCCAAAAGTCCAGGTTGCGAAACGCATTTTCTCTGACTGAAACTCGTTTCGAAGCGTTTTATATAGGAAACGTCGCGAAACGCGTTGGAAAAAAGATGCGTTTTGCATCGTTTCCAGAACACGAACACTGCGAAACGCGTTACGTTCAAATAAAACGCAGAGAAACGCGTTTCTTTCACGCAGAAACGATGCGGAATGCGTTTTTGGATTTCGAAACGCGTTTTGCAGTGCGTTTCCTTTAAATTTTTAACCCATGGGAACGTTAGACGATAAAAAATAAAAATAATATGGCATCATCCAGTGATTTACTAGGAGCTCCAATCATCTCATATACCTCATTGCGTGTTGGTAAGTTTGAATATTGTTGTTTTCGTTCTAAATTTCCTTTGAATGAAAGATAATCTTCACCCTGATGTTAACGAGGCTATGTTATTCGACAAATTTGCAAGTGTCGGGCCAATTTCATCAATTCGAGTCTTTCGTAATATAATTACACGACGATCACTTGGCTATGCTGAAGTCAATTTTCAACTAGCAGCTGATGGTATGTCAGTTTATTAACTATTGCAATAGGATGATATGTGATCGAACGAAATGAGAAAAAGAATAAAAAACGGTTGTTTGCTTTTTATTTATATTCGAGTTATAGGATATTACCAAAATCCAGTAGAATTAATTTTGATAAAAGATATTCTTCCATAAATAAAAAAAATTCTATCGTTTCAGCTGAATATGCATTCGATACAATGAATTTTGATTTACTTCATGGTCGTCCATTACGTATTATGCGGTGTCAACGTGATTCAGCATTATGTAAATCGGATATTACCAAAGTTTTTATTGAAAATTTAGATGAAAGAATTGATGATAAATTACTTTATGATACATTTTCGGCTTTTGGCAATGTCTTATCGTGCAAAGTAAATTTATTCATCTGTTATATAAACTAATTTTTTATAATTATTTTCATTTAATTTTATTAATAGATCATGACAGATGAAAATAATCAATCAAAAGGTTATGGTTTCGTTCATTTCGAAACACAAGATGCAGCAGATAATGCTATTCAAAAAGTCAATGGTATGTCGTTAGCTGACAAAAAAGTTCATGTTAGTCGTTTGATGTCATCTAATCAACAAGTCGACGTTGATGGAGCACGTCAATTGACGAATATATTTATTAATAATTTCGGTGATCAATTAGATGAAGAAAAATTACGTGAAATTTTATCAAAACATGGAAAAGTTTTAAGTTGTAAAGTAAACTATCTGATTGTTTTTCGTTTTTGTAATCGGAAATAATCAACCTAATTCGTTTTTAGATTGAATATGATGAAAGTGGACATTCAAAAGGTTTTGCTTTTTGTAGTTTTGAAAATCCAAAAGAAGCTGAAGAAGTAAAATGAAGAAAAAGAAAACAATATGAAATTAAAAGAAAAAACATAAATTATTTTTCTAGGCTGTTCAAAATTTAAATGGATATTCAATTGGAGATAAACAACTTTGGGTTGGTCGTTTTCAAACGAAAAGTGAACAATTATCAGAAATAACACGTAAAAAAGATTTACAACGACAGGAACGTATGAATAAATATCAAAATGTTAATTTATACAATTTATACATTAGCAATTTGGATGATACTATTGATGATGAACGATTAAAAAAAGAATTTTCAAAATTTGGAACAATAACTAGTGCTAAAGTAACTTCATATTCTTCTTCTATAGATGTTTTTTAGAATTATATTCGCTTTTTCTGTTATTTAGGTTATGGCAGAAAATGGTCGATCAAGAGGTTTTGGTTTCGTTTCTTTTAGTACAACGGATGAAGCAGCAAAAGCTATTACTGAAATGAATGGTTCTTTTGTCGGTTCTAAACCACT